TCACCTAGAGTTAAAAAAAATTGTCTCTGCTCTACAAAGATCTTTCTTTCAGCAAATGTTTTTTAGGTTCATATAGCATATACTGGAAGTAAGGGGACCGATCCTTTAGGAAAAATGCTAAATCTGTTCTTTAGACCACAAAGCTCTGATTGCTGTGCTCTTTGAGCAAAGAAGCCAAAGATTGTACCTTCCACATAACACAACACATGGCTCTATTATCTTGGAGGATTGTCTTAGGGAAAGGGGTCTGAGCAAAGGAAACGATCTTCAGGCTGGTTGGTGGCTATGATGTGCCCTGATATGACCATGCTGCTTAATGTGGATGCTCTGTACTAGATGCAAAAAAACCCAATTAGATGTACTTTCCAGGAACTGCTGTGTGAGATATTTAAAAAGGAACAATGACAGTGGAGTAAGCAGAGATGTAAAGAGGTCCAGAGAAGAAAGTAAACAGAAGGCATGAAGGCGTGGAAGCTGGGAGGCAGGAAAAGCCATAAGGTAGAGGGAAGGAGGAGGAGAGACTAGATGGTAGTGACAGGAGAAATGGCAGCAGGGGACTGAGAATCTGAGAAGCTGACAAGGGTTGTGTTTGCCTGTGAGCATCCACTGTCCCTTCTTCAAGCAGCAGGAGCATGATTTTTCTTGGAGCACCTCTCCTCCCTGCAGCCAGTCTCTTTGTTTTCGTAGGGAGTGGACTGAACCTGGCTCTACCTTGAGCTCCAGCACCAGGACTGGCCAGTTAGAGCATCAAATCCACCTGGTTACAAAGACTGGTGCAAAGATGGGCCTGTGACCCAAACTAGGTCAATGAGAGCCCATAGAACTGGCTTCTGGAACTGTTACTATAACTCTCTGCAAAGGGAAGCTCTTTTTGCTGCAGTTGGGACGCTAACACTGCCAGGAGTCGCCATTTAGAGATGGTTGGCCCCAAAGTGAAGTCAGCCCAGAGAAAAGTAGAGCCAAGGGGCAGAGGGAGAAAGCCAGAGTCATGAAAGCAAGGCCTAGCTCCAGGCCTCTCTGATACAGTACATGCATCACAATGGGGCACCCGCAGAGTAGGTATTGCCAGGCCGGGTGCTTGCTGCTGAGGACAATGGCATAACTGGGTACAGCTTTAAGGATCAGCCCTCATTATTTCTAATGTATACTATATAAACCTCACGCGATGCTTGCTGGAAGAAAGAAGCTTGGAATACAATTGCTTCTTAGCAAGTGATAGTTATTATTATCAGGTCGTGATACACTCATTATCATCCACTGGAGTCCCATCTCAGCCTCTCAGGGCAAAGTCAAATTTTCAAAAGTACCCTTGAAAATCCCTTAGGAAGCTGCCACATGAGGAAGAGTTTCTCCAAAGTCCAATATGTCCAGATTTTCCTTACTTCTGGACAAATCACTGCTTCTTCAGCAAAGCACCACCTGGGATTGTGGGTTTAGATGTGGGCGCTTGTAGAGAACCCATCTCTTTAAATGCCAGAGTGACAGAGATCTTACCACAAAGGCCCGTGGCAACCGAGACCCACTGAGAGAATGACAGACTTCTGACTCCCATCTCAGCCTTCTGGGGGCGTAGCTCATTCAAGGACAGGCAGATAACATTGTCCACACTAGGATATTGTTATTCTACCTCCCAACTTTCTTTTTTTTTGGCCTTAGGGCTTATTGCCAAACCTACTAAGACAGATGCGCATATGACGATAATATTACCATCAATTCGGGCTAAGTTATCACCATCAAATCTCATACTATGTGGATCACCACCCAAATATCAACTGCCAGGTCAATCTATCTGGAAAATACTTTGACATTTGGATTGTCTTTTCCTCAGCATGTTAGGAAAGCTAAAGGAGGCATTTTCAGCAAGCAAGCTTTATGGTAATTCTAAAATAGTCCTAGGATAATTCAAAGTGTAAGAGTTTAGCAATGCAAAGGTTTGGCTTTCACAAGAAAACTGTAATAGTCAATGATAAAGCCAACACGGTATCATTTCCTCCCCAACCACCGAGTGAGCACTTTTGTGGGAGCCCTGCCCAGAGAAAAACAGTGTAGCGAATATGCCCACCTTCGAGACACACAAGAAGTAAAGGTATTGTGTCCTCAGGGCCTACAATTCATCTAAAAGGAGGAGGCATGATTCAGTTAGCACTTTCTTTACACACTGAACCCAGACGGGACAGAGACATGATATGATTTGAGAGGGTGCAGGAGGACCTAGAAAAATTGAGACCACAGAGTATGGGCGGATGGGGATGGGAGAGAAAGGAAGGAGCATGAATAAGGGGTGAAAGTCATTGAAGGCAAATGTTCCAATCAACTTTCTGGAGCCACACTGGCCATCTGGGAGAATTAGGCGGTGATGTGGTGAGTGGAGCCAAGGAACATTCTGGAAGGCATGGGACCCTATTAACTATTGGTTCTGGACGCTATTAACTATTGGTTCTCTTCTCCTCCTTCCTCCAAAAGAGAGCAGACCAATACAATGGTTAAGAGCTCAGGATCTGAATCCAATAACTCTGATTCGAATCTTGACTCTGTCACCTGGTTGTTTTATGCCCTGGGGCGAGTTATATCACTTCTCTTTGCCCAATTTCCTCATCAATGAAGATGATAATAATACTTTCCATCTCAGAGGATTACAAGAGATAAGGGAAGGAAAGTCCCTGGCACACAGAAAATGTTCGGTAAATATTAGTCGCTGGTAGGGTACCTTTTCTCCCATCCTAAATTATTATGCAGTGCCTGCGATAACTGACATGTGTATAGATTATTGGCAAAGCACCATTCTCCTCTGGGCATCCTGAGGCTGTACAGAATGCTTAGGATGTCACTCTGATGTGTTGTATGTATTTACAGTCAGCAGAAATTAATTCGCATACTAGATTTGTCAGTTACCATAGGCTTCAGGGTCCTGCTTAGGAAAGACCTTGAGCAAAAGAAGAGAAAGCACTCAATGTCAATAAGTAAATGTGAATCTTCACCAAAGTGGGCTCTGATTCAAATGAAGTAGCATAAAATGTGAATCTTCTTGGAATGGTCTCCCTTGATAATCAGGTAGAAGCTTTGGTCTTTACCTTCCAGAAGAAAAGTCTTTTCAAGGACCCCAATTTCACACCAGAAAGAAAACTTCTAGAATATCTCCATAGCAGACTCCGTCACACACGAACTGGTTGAGAAATGGTTACTTATCTTTGCAATTTCCTACTTCCATTTGAGGGTGGGTTTTCCCACTGTTTGCCCCACTAGGGCACTTAAACTGTGTTGATTGTTTTAGAAGAACAAAGAGACAGCCCTTGATGATGAGAATATGCCATATATTTTCTGCGGAATTACCCAGTTAATTGTGGTTTGCCATCTTCTGCCTTTGCATAAGAAGATTTAGATTCATGAAATCATCTACTCATCTTTGGAAAGTAAACTGGTTAAGAAAGTAGCTCTGGTAATATTCATTACAGTGTTAAACAATTCTTTTTTTTTTTTCCATTTCCTCGCAGTCATAATTAATTTCATGGCTCAGGTACATGAAGAGATTTAAAGCGCTGTTTATAAAATGAATTAGCCTCTCCCTCATCTTATTTAGAGTTCTCCATTGTGAATATGCTCAAATTGTAAAGGAGAGGCAATTTATGAGAAAGCTCTCTGGTGTCCTTGATTCTGTATCCTCTAGAGGATTGATTATTTAGTCCTCCCCTTCCCTTGGGGCCAGAAGACAGACTATGTAGCTGAAAGACAGCGGCTTTGCCACTTTTTGTTAAAAAGGAATTGTTGTTCAAACATCAAATTTGGGACATTTTGATGAGGCTCAACAGTGGGAGCTGGGGAGAGGCAAGGTGGGTAGAGAGGAGTGGAGGGCTGCGCCTGTAGCTTGTGGGCATGTACGCAGCTTTAGCATGAATGGAGTTGCAAATGCAATCTCTAGTTCTAGGAGGGTGAGGCCATGTGCAGCCCTGCAGAGTCCTGGAAGGGGCTGGGGAGACCTGGTTCTATCCTGCCCCTGCCCTTACCTCATCCTTAACCCTGGAAAATCACATATTGTCTGTGGCCTCCAACTTGCCCAGGAGGAAGATGAGGAGCTTGGAACAGACCAGCTCTAAGGTCTCTCCCACCTATGCAATTCCACCATTTACCACTTTGCCAATTGTAAAACTATTCATTCAGCTAGTCCTTATTTCAACATGTCTTTGGGGTTTGGGTAGTTGATTACATACCTCCATAGGCATCTTTAAAATTATATCTCTTTGCCTGTATTCAGCCATATCATGAGGAACAGGGGGAAAAAACCTAAGTCAGTTACTAGAGCTGCACCGTCCAATCCGGCAGCCATTAGTTACTTGTGGCTATTTACGTTTAAACTTGTTCTTCCATCACGGGAGCCCTGCTGCAAGTGCTCCATGGCCACAAGTGGCTACTGGCAACCATATAGGACAGCACAGATATGCAACGTTTCTATCATCACAGAAATTTCTATTGGACAGTGCTGTAATTAGGAGAAAAATCGTTTCTAAATAAAAGACTAGTTCAGATGCCCAAGACCAGCTACTCTGTGGGGGGGTATTCTTCCTCCTAATCCCAGATTGATAAATCACGATTTCCGAAGCTGTCCCATAAGCAGAGTCATTTTTGGGCAGAATTTAAGGCATCCCAAAGGCCTGCTTAAAAATCCCTCCCCCACCCACTCTGGCCCACCTCTCTCACTCTCCTCCCACCACTGCCGACTTCCTCCTCTCTCTGCTGATCGCTGGCATCTAGTGACCTTGATGTAATAACTCAGGGAAGCAGCAGTTGGAGAGGAGAAAATGTAACATTTCCCTTCATCCAAATGTGCCATTGGTTATAGGGCATAATGTTGTTTGTTTTTTCGTTTTAACTGTTTGTTTGGAGATAATTTTAGATGTACAGATGCACTGCCACCAAAATGCAGAGAGTTCCTACATACTCCGCATACAGCTTTGCCTGTGTTAACATCTTACCTAACTGTGACACAATGATCAAAACTACAAAAGTCACGTTAGTACAATTTTATTAGCTAAATTGCAGGCTTTATTTGGATTTCACCAGTTTTTTCACTAATGTCCTTTTTCTGTTCTGGGACCCAATCCAGCATCCCACATTGCGTTTAGTTGTCATGTCTCCTTATCTCCTCCAATCCGGGCCAATTCCTCAGTCTTTCCTTGTCTTTCGTGACCTTAACACTTTTGAAGAGTGCTGGGCAGTTATTTTGTAGAATGTTCCTCAATTTGCCTTTGCCTAATGTTTGCCCATGATTAGACTGAGGTCATGCATGATGGGAAGGACACTTCAGAGGTGATGCGTCCTTCACAGTGCGTCATATGAGGAGGTACAGAAGTTCTCTCTGGCACAGTGACAGTTGTAGCAAGTTGAGTTCCTGGGGAAGCAGATTCCACAGGGCTGGTTCTTGTGTCTCACGAATGCGGCCGATGGTGTGGAAGGTAGGAGCTGCAGCAGATAGTACTGGGAGACAATAACCATGGGGTCCTCATTGGATGGATTCTGCAATGTAATTTGGAGGTGTTATTCCTTCTCTCACCCTCCCAGAAATTCTCCAAGATTCCCAATATCTTTTTAATGAATTTCTTTTCTGCTTAAATCAAGCACAGTAAGTTTCTGCTGCTTACAACTAAGAATGTTCACAGATGGAGAAATTGGAACCAGAGGTGCTTATAGGAAACAGACTTTGAGGTAATGAGGGAAATCTGGGATTGGTTATCAGGCCTAGTTGGGGGAGAGCAGAAAAAAAGTGCAGGTAAGGATGTGACTCTGTCAGGTCCTGTAGCATGGTGGCAAAATGATTCCTTGTGACCTGCTGTCCTCCAAATAAAGTGTCCATTCGTAGCAGGCTTCAGGGGAACATATGACTGCTGCCAAACAATGGCATGAAGGCCATAAGGAATTAAAGATCTAAGGGTGGGGTGGCTATCTCTTCAGGGGCTGGACAATTAAAGAAAGCTCAAATATGTAAATTCTTGGCCCAAAGCATAGTCAGAAAATGTGGGACTTTTATGATTGTTAAAATAGACTGTTATTTCTTGATCCCATATATCTGAGGAAGCCAAAAGCCAAAATCACAGCTGGATCCTGCAGGCCGATTAACTACATTGCCAGTTGAATTCATTGCCTTACTAGGTCTCTTATGCAAAATTTAGGGCATTGATTAGGAAAGAATAAAAGCCTAGGAGTTGGAATGGAGAACTGGGGAGGACCCAACGGGCTCTGAGTCCTAGGATCTTCCGGCTCCCCCTGAACCTTCCACGAAGGCAAGGATGGTCCATCCTTTCCTCTCTAACAAAGCAACTGCTGCCTTGTGGAAGACCCCCCAAGGACTTCATCTGAACAAAAATTGTCCTTGTGCCCCACACTTACAACTGTTAGAGTTCTAGTTAGCTCCATAACTAGAGTCAGGTCCCAGGATGTTCTGGAAGGTCAAGTATAACACCAAACCCAAGCAGAAAAGACTTACACACCAAGATAAGTAATTTATTTCAGCACAAATATGGCAAATACATATGGAGATGTATCGAGGAAAGAAGTACATATCTGTACACTGAAATAAAATTAATTGATATAGGAGAATTTTCTGGAGAGTCTGGATTCTTGAGTTAGCTCAGGCAGCTGGGAACACTTCCAGTTGTTTATTTGTTTAGTTGACTGATGTCTGTACTCACTAATAGTCCCTGCTGAATGAGATTGAGGTGCCAGTAATTAGTTGATAAAATGTAGTTGAAGGAATCCAAAGACTTGGAGTTTGGAGAGAGAGGAATATTGGGAGCAGATTCATCATAAGTGAATAGGTGAAACACATTCCCTCAAACCTTATCATGTCTCCAAATAGGGCCCCAAGGAAACACTCTCTTCATCAAAGCATCAAGGAATGCATGGGTGAGGTGAGGGCCAATGTTTTTGTATGGCACTAGGGTTGCCATTTTCTATAGCCTGGGTTGTTGGTAGTCTTAGAAAACACCCACCCCTGGAGACACAGGACACCACTGTAGTCCTCTAGTCAGAGAAGGAGCCTTTGGAGAATGAGGTAAGAAATAGAGTTTTGACCAAAGTTCTCTTTCAAGGGTTTATGGATTCAAGTCCTTAAACCCTTCTATTACCAAGTGCGTCATCTCAACAATTAGTAGAATCCTCTCTTTGGCTCTCCCTTAAAAGTAGAGTAAAGGCTACTATGGTCAAAGAATTGGATGGAAGTCCCTGAAGCACACTGACTGTCCCTAGCAAATATTAAACCAAAGTATGCTTTATTCTGGGAGAATTGCAGAGATAAGTTCTTTCACCAAAGATGTGGGGGTTGTACAGTACAAAAATCAGCCAAAGCCAGTTTCTGTTGCTTCTCACAAAGGGTGCCCATTGATAAAGCAATTGGAACCAGAAGTGGTTATAGGCAACAGCCCTCAGAGTGATACAGAGGATAGATGGGTTTGGGAGAATGAATGACAGCAGATTATCATACAGTTAATAAAGTGGTTTCTCTAATTGCCACCACTCTTCCAGATGTGGTCTCTCTTTACTTAAATAAATCAACACAGCCCCTGGGACTTTCTATCCAGCTACTGATCTTAAAAGATGCTTTTTTTCTTCACCCCAGTAAGTAGAGAACATGAGCAATTTGTTTTTGCTTGGTTGGGCAGCAGGACCTCTTCATCATCGTGCTTTAGGGCTCTATGCCAAAGGATCACTGATCATCTCTCTTTCCCAAAAGGCACCATGCTAGTCTACTACACTGATAATACCATAAGAGCAGAACTTGGAGAGCAGGAAGTAGCAGGTGCCATAGATGTCTTGGTAAGTTATGGTGAGACAAAGGTACCAGATATATCCCATGAAAATAAAGGCCACATTAGTAAAGTTTCTGAGAGGTGCATGGGGGCATGAAGGGATATCTTCTCAAAAGTGAATATCGAATTGTTGCACCTTGCAGCCCCTAAGAAAGAAACACAATGCTTTGTGAAGTTCTTTGGAGTCTGGAGGCAACATATGCAGCATTTGGTAGTGCTGTTTCCCCTGTGTACCAGGTAACTTGAAAGGCTACTAGCTTTCAGTAGGGCCCAACTCATCTTGAACTGGATGAGTCTGCAGCAGAAACAGCCCATCCACTTGAGCCTTATGACAGTGGATCCAATAGTTCCAAAAAGTGTCAGTAGCAGATGAGGGTACGATATGGACCTCTGCAGCCTCCATATAGAATCACAGCAGGGGCCATGAGGTTTTAGAAGAAAAACCACAATCTCTTGGCAAGAATGATCTTTCTTTTGAGAAACAGGCATTGCTACCGGACTCTGATGGATGCTGAAAATCCAGATAAACCTGAACTGCACATCACGGAGTGAGTTTTCTCGCATCCTCCTGGCCATAAATTTAGGCATTCCCAGAAGCACCCATCATTCCAAGCTGAACAGATCCTGGAGGCAGGAGAAAATGAGCAGATGGCTCCCACTCCCAGTCTCCGTCCTCCTGCTACATTATGACCTCCCCTCCCTCAGCCCACACCTGGCCTCATGGAGAGTTCTCCTGATCAGTTGACTGAAAATGCAAAAAATTGATCTGTACATATATGGTTTTGTGCAATACGCTGGTGTCAGCCAAAAAGAAACTGCTGAAGAGTTACACCCAACACAGGGGAGGCCTTGAAGATCGGTAAAGAAAAGAAATCTTCCCAGTCAGTATAACTTTGGTTTCTTTTCATTCTTTATTTTATCTCAAAGGAGACAGGAGCTGAGGTCAGGCTATATGGGCAATAGTTCATTGTTTGGGCATATGGTAAAAAAATATATATATTAAAGAGTAAGATTTAAGAATTATTGACCGGATTAGGGAAAGAATATAGATTGACCTCTGAGAATAAGCACAGAGAAGGCCATGTAAATACTCACCAAAAGTTCCTCACGGTGGAGGAGGCTCTCTTTAATAAGGTGGGTGTGATGACCTATTCTCTGGGTATCAGTCAACCGCTATCCCCAGCAACCTGGTGCTTATTCAACCGGTTCATGAAGTAAGTAGTCATGGAGGGTGGAAGCTGAGCTTGAACTCAAAAACATGGGCATGCCCTCAGCTGGCTGAGTATCCAACTCATTTGCAGCAGTGACAAACACTAAGTGTCAATATGGTGCCATACCCAGGAGGAGCAGCCAGCCTCCTGGTAGCTGGTTAACTACATTGGATTGTTTCCATAATTGAAGAGGTAACAAATCATGCTCACTGGGATATGCACTTATTCTGGATTTGGATTGTGTTTCTTTCCTTCTTTCTACATGACCACACAGTCTTAATGAATGCCTTAATAATCATGATGGTATCTCACATTCACATAAAATAACTTCTCACCAAAGCACTTACTTTTAAATGAAAGAAGACAGACAATGAGCTGATGTTCATGACATTTGCCAGTTTTACCGTGCAGCCCGCTTCTCAGAACTAGCTGCCCTTAGAGAATAGCAGAATAATCTATTGATGATTCCATTCCAGCCACAGTAAAAGTAGGGGGAAAAAACCTTGCTCTTAAATTGAACCAAATGACATTGCCAACCAATTTTAACCTAGAAAAGTGGTGAGTTCATGCCACTCAACCAATGGCTTAGGGTATACAGAATGTGCTGAGCCAGCCATCAATATGTGGTACACTTTCACCTGTAAATAGGGTGGACCTGGGAATGCCATGACCTCATGATCACCTGCAACCATTTTGTTTTCTGGTTCTACTGCTCTGGGCTCTGTTTAGAGGTCTTAAAAAACAAGGGAAGCATGCTTCTTCCAAGCAAGGCAGCAAAGCTTCCATTGTATTTGGACATGTATTTGTCACACCTGGACATTTCATGATCCTCCTGGAACTGGGGGAAGAGACCAAAAAAAAAGTGTGTGTGTGTGTGTGTGTGTGTGTAGTGGTCATGGTGGTGGTGGGAGTGTTGTGGATTTTGACTAAAGTAATTGATCTGCTTATGAAGTGGAAATGGAGTTGCTGCCCCAGAGTGCAACATGGCATCCTGTATGGATGGGATCCAGGAAATTCCCTGAGATGCCTCATAGGACTGTAATGTTCTCGAAACCTAGAGTCCATGAGTTTTGAGAAGTTTTCTCTCCGTGCTTAAATGAGCCAAAATTGGCTGCTATGACTCGCAACTAAGAAATCTGCCACATTGGGCTGCATGTCGGGTCTATAGCTGTAAAATGAAGGTAAGAAAATTGCCCACCTGCAGGGTAATGGATAAAGACACAGACTTACCTACCAGAGAGTCCTTAAGTCAAGTCGTTGCTGTGCCACTTTCTAGTTGTGGCATCTTAGGCAAGCTGACATTTCCGACCTGGTTTCTCATCTATAAATGAGGAATGACGATGATAGCATCCATATCAGAGGGCTTTGTGGAAATTAAATGAGATAACACACATTAAATGCATACAGTAAGGATCAGCGATGTTAGCTATCATTATCTCTGTTTTCTCTGAATTGATGTAACTCAAGGAAAAATACCTAAAATTATACAGTGTCAGTTATTATTTAGGATGTATCTGCCCCCTTCTTTTCCCTTCTGTGTCATCCTTGATGATGACTTTAACTGGACTTCACCTGTATAAAGGTGGGAGGAAGGACATATTGTGTGCTGGTGGAAGGAATACTGGGGTGAGAGCTATTGCACCTGAGTATTAATACCTGCCTTTAGCTGTTGGGCTGCAAATAGTCAGTTTTCTCATCTGTAACGTCGGGGGGTTGGACTTGATTTCCTCCAGTTTCTTCCCAGCTCCAACATGCTCAGTGTGTAAGGGGAGGACTATAGGCTTCACTTCTCCTGGAGCCTCATATCTCTGGGATACGCCTTGTAATTAAGTAGTTGATAGATGTTGGATAAAATGGAAATTTATTCAGATGCCAAATTTTACCAGCACCAGACCTAATAACAGTTCCCCTCAAATGTTTCAGTCAAAAGAATCAGAACTTTTAATTGAGCTAAGATATAGCAAATACTTAGAACAACTTTGGGATGGCCATGAAAGTATAAACCACGGTATCACACACATCCTGGATGTGTGGAGTGCAAAAAGTTTTCCAAGTTATTTGTTCCTTTTAAAAAATAAGATCTGAAACTGACTTAGAAAAAATGACCCAACCTTTATTACTGACTATATTAAATAAATAACTTGAGGAGGGGCCGGCCCCGTGGCCGGGTGGTTAAGTTCCCGTGCTCCATTTTAGTGGCCCAGGGTTTTGCTGGTTCGGATCCTGGGCGTGGACATGGCACCACTCACCAGGCCACGCTGAGGTGGCGTCCCATATGCTACACCTGGAAGGACCCACAAGTATAATATACAACTATGTACTAGGGGGCTTTGGGGAGAAAAAGCAAAATAGTTTAAAAAAATTTAAAAATAACTTGAGGAAAAAGAAAAGGATTTAGTAATCCCCAGAATGTTGAAAGCAGGATAATTACTTGGGACAGGAAATCATTACTGTAAATGTTTTATCTTTAATTCTGAAAGCTTTCTGAATTTTATTCCTCTCACTATATTTCCTAAGTAAATTTTAACATATTGACTAAACAAAGAATTCTAAAGAGAAAGGCCCAGCAAAGAGTGTATATTTAATAATTTTAAGTAATTACATCTTTGTAAATTACAACTCTTCTATTCTTGTCATCCTCAGAGGTATACTGAAATGACAGTAAGAGAGTGATCATTAAGTACGTTTCAGATGTTATTACACTTAAGAATAGGAGAGATGTCTTGAATGAAGGACCCCCTAACTAAGGCCATGATGCTTTCATAAGATTCTGGGGGAAAAACTGTTTTCTAAAGCAATAAACTGGCATTTTTTTGGAGACAATATGATCATCTACTGGGGGTGGGGGGGGAGGAATCAACAATAAGCCCTTAGAACGAACCAAGAGTTCAGCAAAGGTTGTGAGCGTGATGAACCTACTACAATCAATAACTGTTTTGCAGACCAGAAAACAACCAAGGAGAAATTTTAATGAAAAATAAAATCATTCATTCATAATAACGACAAAATCTATGAAGTGGCAATGAATTGACCAAGAATCCTGAAGTCTTCTGTGGAGAAACCTAAATTTGATGAAGAACACAGATGATGATCTGGAAAAAGTGGGCAGATAGCCTATGCTTTTAGACGGATGACTTAACACTTTAAGTATGTCGATGTTTCTAAATTAACCCACGATTTCAATGCAACCATAATCATGGTTTGAAAGCCAGTTTTTGAGAAACTGAAACTTACATTAAGATGTATGTGGAAAAATAAAACATCTAAATTCATCTTGAAAACAGTAAAGAGAGAGGATTTTCCACACTGGATAGTAAAGCATACCGTAAAGCATAGTAACAACAACAACAAAAAAGTGTGATATTGGTGCAAGAACAAAGAAGCTAATGGAATATTACACACACACACACACAGAGGAATTTTAAATGTGATAATTGTGGCACTACAAACCAATGGAGAAAGAATGGCATTTTTAGTAGCTGGTAATGGGGAAACTGGCTCATTGTCTGGAGAAAAATCGCACTGCATCCTTAGGGAACAGCACACACAAAGGTAGATAGATCCAGATGGACAAAAACCTAAATGTAAAACTACAAAGTCAAGAAAATCTAGGAGAAGACCTCTCTGATATAGGCTCGGAGATTGACTTTCTAAATAAAATCAAATTAACCAGAAAAGGGCAACCCCACTGGAAAAATAGGCAAAAGAGCTGAAGAGGCAATTTCCAAAATGAAACCAAAAAGGCTAATAAACATGAAGAGGTGCTCAAACTCTTGGGTAATTAGAGAAATGAAAAGAAAACCACAGGACATAAATTCACATCTGGCAACAATTAGAAAGATAGACAATGGCAAATGTTGATGAGGACACGGAGACAGAAGAATGTTCATTCCTGGCTGTTGGGGGGTAGACTGGTACAGCCTTCCTGGAGAGCAACCAGTCACTGCTCAGCCACAATAAGTGTATGCACATATCAGTGACCCTGCAGTCTCATTCCTGGGTACAAATCTTACAGAAATTGGCACACTAGTCCATAAGAAGACATGAATGAGGATGTTCTTTGCAGCATTCTTTGTGGTAGGGGCCAACCTGGTGTCCATCACCAGGAAAGTGTGTACCTAAAATGTGGGGGGTGCCTGCACATGTGGTAGGCTGAATAATGCCTCCCCAATCTGTCCCTGTCCTGACCCCTGGAACCTGTGACTGTTACCATATATGGCAAAAGGAACTTTGCAGATGTGATAAAGTTAAGGATCTTGAGATGGAGAGATTATCCTGAATTACTGGGTGGGCCTTATGTGGTCACTATGGTCCTTATAAGAGGGAGGCAGGAGGGTCAGTGTGAGAGAGGGAGATGTGAGGACAAAAGCAGAGGTTGGAGCGATGCGTCTAAAGACAGAGGAAGGGCCACAGCCAAAGATACAAGGAGCCACCAGAAACTGAAAAAGGCAAGGAAATAGATTCTCGTCTCAGAGCTTCCGGAAAGAACCAGTCTGACTGATATCTTGACTTGAGCCCAGCAAAACTGACTTCACACTTCTGACCTCCAGAGCAGTAAGAGAAGCCATTTGTGCTGCTCTAAGACACTAAGTGTGCATAATCTGTTACAGCAGCAAAAGAAACTAATACACGCTGAGATTATACAAAAGTTAGAAGCAACGTAGCAAATATACACATAGCAACATAAATTAATCTTAAAATTTTCAATGTTAAGAGAAAAAAGTTTAAAAAAAATCGTGTTCATGGACTGGAAGACAATATTATTAAGATGTCATTCTGCTCAAATTGGTATGCAGATTCAATGCAATCCCAATCAAATTTCCAGCAGGAGTTTTGTAGAAATTGACAAGTCGATTCTAAAATTTATATGGAACTACAAAGGAACTAGAACACCTAAAACAACTTTGAAAAAGAAGAATAAAGCTGAAGGACTTATATTACTTGACTTCAAGACTTCTTACAGAGCTACAGTAATCAAGACAGCGTGGTTCTGACGTCAAGAAGGACAAACAAATCAATGGAACAGAATACAGAGTCCACAGACACCACCAGAAGTGTGAACCATTAAAAAAAAGTTGATAAATTGAACTTCATCAAAACTGAAAACTTCTGCTCTTCAAAAGACTCTACTAACAAAGTGGAAAAAAAGCCATAGAGTAGGAGAAAATGTTTATGAACTCTGTATCTGATGGAGCACTTGTATCCAGATTATAAAAATAACTCTCGAAACTCAGTAATAAGAAAACAAACACCTTCCTCCACAAATGGGCAGAAGATTTGAATAGACACCTCCCCAAAAAAGATATACAGATGACAAATAAGCACATAAAAAAGATCCTCATCTCCATTAGTCATCAGAGAAATGCAAATTAAAACCACAAGGAGATACTACTCTGTGCCTATTAGAACGTCTAAAATTAAAAGCACTGTCTATACCAAGTGTTGGCAGGGATGTGGAGAACTGAAACACTTCTGGTGGAAACTAAAATAACACACTACTTTGGAAATACGTTTGGCAGCTTCATAAAAAGTTAAACATACAACCACCATATAATCCAGACATTCCATTCCTATGCATTTATCCAAAAGAAACAAAAATATACATCTATTAAAGAACTAGTACATGACTCTTCATGGCAGCTTTATCTGTAACAGCCTGAAACTGGAAATAACCCAAATGTCCATCAGCAGGTGACTAGGTAAATAAACTGGTATATCCATACGATGGGATACTACTCCACCACAGAAAGAAATGAACTACTGATACACATGACATGAGTGAATCTCAGAAACAATTATGCTTGTGAAAGAAGTCAGATCAACAAAAAGAATACAGATTATATGATTCCATTTATGTAAAATTCTAGGAAATGCAAACTAATCTATAGTGATAGACAGCAGATCGGTGGCAGCCTGGAGATAAGGGAGTGGGGAGGGGCAAGAAGAGGGGTTACAAAGAAACAAGAGGAAACTTTGGGGGGTGGGTGATGAATATGCTCATCACCTTGATTGTGGTGGAGTATGGTTTCACAGATGTCCAAACTTATCCAAACATGTTTAGATTTATGCCTCAATAAGGCATAAATAATATGTTAAAAATAAGATAAACTCACAAAAAGTTAAAAAGTAGAATGGGATACATAACAAAACACCATTTACATAACTAAATATATGTATGTGCACACAAAACAACACACGTTTTGAAAAAATACAAGCAAAACTAAATACAAACATATATATGATATGCTAAACACTAGAAAGCTGTCTTCTAGATGGTTCAGAGCTGAGGGACTAGAACCACAGTAAAAGAGAATAAAGAAAGAAATGAAAGAAGAGAGAGACTTGTATAGATCCACGAAGAATGACGGACACAATGAACTCAATACACAGAAAACAAGAACACAGAACTCAAATATACAGAAAAAAATTATTTTCTCCTTATTTATCATAAAAACAAAGTTTCCTGGGACAAGATAAATTTTTGTCTCAATTCAAAAAAGGGAACATTGCTGAGACTTTTATGAAACAGATGCCATAATTTTTGTCTCCAAAGGGAGATAAGTTACATTTTAGCGCTTTGGGAGGTTGACTTGTGGCTTGCGTGTGCCACATCTCTGACAATCCTGCTAGAAATCCTGCTAGTAGCAAATCTGGCCATTCAATGAGGGCATAATTACCTCGATGTTTATAAAATTCCATCACACCCTATATGTAGGCCCATTGCACAGATGTTTAAGTACCTTCAAGCTGTTTTCATATGTACCGCAAATAATTCCAAGCTGCGGTTTCCCTTTAAATAAAGCCAACAGCAACCAGAGGATCTGGTTGGCAGAGGGCCTTCCCTATGTAAAACATCGTTTACTTTTAGTTTATTGCAGAGAAATGTGTGTGTGTGGGTGGCTAGAAAATAATTAAAAGTGTGTGCTTCCTTATAACATGCTATCTCCATAACTGAACTTCTAACCTGACATAAATACATTGCATACTGTAACCTGTTTCTCCTGATTATTAACCTTGAGCATGGCAACCTATAAATCATCGCCGAAACAGCTGGCGCTCAGCATTGCCCCAAAGGTATATGATTACGATCGTTTTATATATATCTTGGTATGCAGACATGAAAAATTCATTGAAGAGGTTGGTTTTGTAAGACTCATTGTAATGAATTTTCTCAAAAACATAGATCAT